GAGGGGAAAGGGAAGAGAAAAGACAAGACAAGACAAGACAAGACAAGACAAGACAAGACAAGACAAGACAAGACGAAGAAACCCCCTCCCAAAGTGAAGTGGCTTGCTCAAGGCATGTAGGTAGTAGAAAGCAGAGCCAGACCCCATTGTTTTTACATCCCACCCTGCTGTGACTCTGAGATAAGAGTAGGACTGCACTAACTGGTATATATGGTAAGGGCCTCTAAAGGAAGTTACTATGTTTTTCTTTTTAATTAAGTCTCTATGTTTTCCTCTATGGTCTGATTAATGTATAATATATACTCCTTTTACATCTCTCTAAAGAATTTTTGACTGCTGGCCAGTAAGGCAGAAACTAGGGATACTGAGCACACAGACATCAGATAAGGCCAAGATGGAGTCACAGAGGTTAAGTTTTCACAGTCAAAAGCTGGCTGAATTGGGACTCCAAGCAATTGTAGCTAAGGGCAACAGTTGCTATTTAGTAACTATATTCTAACAAGAAGTACAAAACACTGTGGTCTGCTGACACCACAAAGAATAGCATAATAACTCACTCAGACTATCATGACTATTTTCTAAAGCCTACATCCTTGTAAGAAAGCCTGCCCCTTACTCAGACTGCTAGATTTAAAAAGTAAGTAAGTAAGTAAATAAATAAATAACAGATAAAAAACGCTGTTTTTAATCCTCTTTGGCCACCCATTTGGGTCGCCTTCCCTTGTACTGGAAGCTTTTTCTCCTTCTCTAATGAACTCTAGTTTACTCTCCTCTCTACAATAATGCAGACTCTAATTCTAATTCTTCATGAACATAGGACAAGAGCCAGCATAGTTGATGGGTCCAATCACTCAGCACTCCCGAGTCAGTTCCACAACAGGTTAAATCCTCTAGGTCATCATCACAGCCGAAGGCCAGTGACTAGCTCTGATAGCTGCACCGTAGCCAGGTTGATATACAGAATTTCCATACCATAAACCTACTGCAGTTAGTGATATCATTTCACTGCACATTGGAAAAGGCCTTCTACGGTTTGAATGCTGGTGTTCCCCCAGAACCCATGTGTTGGACCCTAATACCCAATATGATAGTATTAAGTGCCAGGTCCTTTGGGGACATGATTAAGTCATGAGGGCAGAGTGAGAAGTCTTCTTTGAGGAATCAGAGTCTTCACTGGACATTGAATTGGCTAGTGCCTTGATTTTGGATGTCCCAGCCTCCTGAACGGTAAGCAGTACATTTCTGTTGTTTACGAATTACCCAACAGAAGGTATTTCATTAAACCATCTAGAATGAATGCCTGTGAGGAAGACACCTACCTCCCAGCAAAGTAGCCACCATCAGCTAAATGTGAAACCTCGTGTTATTGCCCTACCCCAAGTTCCCACTACCGCTGCCTTCTAATTGCCCTCCTGCTGGAGACAGGTCCCTAAGACAACATGGACCGCTTCACTTACTGTCTCATAGTCATACCAGATGGCATCCGGTACATACGCTTTCACGTGGTCCACACCCTAGGGAAATAGCAGCAGCGAATAATATTAACACACCCCATCACAGTTTACAAACACTTCCCCATGTGGTTGCACGTGTTCATCTAAACACTTCTGAGGGGGTTGGGATCATCTCATTCTATGAATGAAAACACAGAAACTCAGGAAGTTTACCCAAAGCAGAGCTGTACCTACCAATCCTCCTGTACTTTCTAAGAAAAGCATGAAGTATATTCACTGAATTAGTCACCCGAACTGAGAGTAGGGAGGAAACTGAGCCAGCCAAGCCCCTTGGGAGAGCCTTCCAGCACGGCCACTTGTTAGTTAACAGTACCTGTTAGCAGGTAGTTTGGCCAGAACACCAGCTCAAAGGGCCTTGACTTGAACACGCACTGGCAGCCTCCCGGATTTATGAGCAGACTAGCATGAACGGACTCTTCCCCACTCACTCCTACCCAGCATCCATGGGCATGGGGTACACACAGTCTATCACATGTAGAGTTAAGAAAAGCGCCCTCCTCCTGCCCTGCACTCCCCTTCCCTTTCCTCCTCTTCTCACATCTATTCTGTCTCCCCATTCCAGCCCCAGGAGCACATCACACCAAGACACTTACAGCCCATGTGAATGCCATAGCCCTACGATTAAGAAAACAGGCTATAGGGCAATTTTGCAACTTGGAAATTGTTTTGCTTGGTGAGGCACCAGAAACCAGAATTCATATTTTGTTAATTTCCAAACTTTCATGATCTTTCTCTTTCTCGTTTATATTCAAATGTGGATGCAAATGCAGTCATAGGTGCTCAGGATCCAAGTACTCAGCCATAGACCCACAAGAATCAGCGCCATCTCCCACCCGTTGTTTGAATTTTACACGTACTTCATATAAAACAGGCGTGATGAGGAGTCCAGGCCCCCATAAGAACTGCTCGTGGATGGCCCATGTGGCGGGGTCCTGGTAGAACCTAGAGAGCAGCACAGCGAGGCATGAGGCATCTGCAGCCTCGGGCGGGAGCACACCCAGGGACAAGGTGCTCGCTACCCCTTGGCGGCTAGCAAGGTGAAGTGAAACTGTGGTCTGAGGGGGAGCCTTTGAGGACTAGGGAACTCACTCGTGTACAAGAGGCCTGGCCACAGTGTCCCCCAGGGTGTGGGCGCGGTAGAAAAGCGTGTACAGGTAGGGCAGCAGGGTATAGCGGATGTTAAGGTAGTGCCTGGAGGAATTCAGCAGCAGGGAGTCCTCTCCGAAGGCAGCTGGGTCCTGGTCCTAGAAGGAGACGTCAGCAATCACGCCATTGTTTCTTTCCCTGTCCGCTTAAAAACTCCCTTGTCTAATCAGCTCTCCCCGGTGAAAGCAGCCATGTTGATGTTTCTCATATTTCACTTGTAACAATGTATTATTATTACTACTAGAAAAAAAATACATCTTTAGTCCATTGTCTTAAGCCACATTGTCTACAACCATGATCTAAATCTATCTTTCCCTTTCCATGAAATTTTATTAATTTTTAGTTTTAAAATTTTGTGTCTAGCTTTAGCTAAAATGTTTTCCTTATAGGTAAAGGTTACAGGTAAAACTATAAAACTATCAAAATGTGTTTTATAAGATTGTGATTTCTATGTGCTCATCAATAAGCAATGTGGGGAACCAGCAGTTAGCATAATGGCTATGTCGCTGGACTCCCATGTAGTTGACCACGGTTCGAGTCCTGCACCCAGTGGCTTAAACTCAGGCCGGGTGCGTGTATGTGCGTGTGTGCCCAAGATCCCGAGAGGAGAATGGAGGAGAAAGGATTGCGGCGTGGCCATCCCCCCTGGGGGGGTGATTTCTCGCTTTCTGTCTCTCTGTCTTTCTCTATCTGGTGAGCGCACGTGCCCTATAGCAAAAACCTCTTCAAAAAAAAAAAATAAATAAGCAATGTGCAAAGAAACCATAAACATGGTTTTTCCCAGCTTTTATTCAAGAGCAAAAAAAATCCTTTAGGAGGGAAATCCTGTTTTTGTAGGACCCAGAGAAAGAACTGTCCATCAATGGTCCTCACTCTTTTTGCTTCTTTTCACTGTAATTTGGGAGATGTGAAAAAATACCTATGTCATATTTTGACTTGTCATCCTGCACTTTATTACTGGAAGTGAGTTTTGGAGAAAAGTATCTGAATTCATTCCTTTTATTTGCTAAGATGCCTACCTATTTCTACCACTCGAAATATACCTATGCCCTGAAACTACACTATGGTCTCTGTAGGGCTAATGACAACCCCGAGGCCAAAGACCAGAGAAAAAGCTCTCAACAGCATGCACTCCCCTAGTCTCCGACTGAGAAAGTCTAGAGCCCCACCATTCCCTGTGGTGGCCACGAACCATGTGGTGCTATTGAACACTTGAAATGTGGTTGGCAAGACTGAAAAGCCAAACTTTGAATTTTATCTGATGACAGTTCAGTTAAATATATACCTTAAGACTGAATCAATGTAAAATAGTTTTTCTATTAAACTAGCTGCCTGAGTGATCTGAGTGCCCTTTCTTCCTAAGTCCTGCCAGGCTATCTCTTCATGAGAAGCATACTTCCTACCTGCTCCCAGCCACCTGGAAATAGTTCATCTCTCTCTAGCTCATGAGTGGCCAGGAAAACTCAGGGACAAAGGACTCTGAAAGTTTGGCTGCTAATCTTTCCCAAGTTAAAGACAAAGCCAAGAACTAGGAGCTAAAATTATCATCAAGAAGTTACTCTAAGAGCCTATTAAGAGCTAAACCACTCCCTTTGAAATACATCAGATATGGTTATTTCATTTAAAGAAAGAACGCTCCATCCCACCTGCTCTTGCCACCACCATGAACACTGCTAAAGTGGGGCACTGAACTCACATACCTGCCCATCAGAAATACCGTTTGTGCTTCTCCCATTACTTGCGCCTGAGAAGACTGAAGCAACGTATGTAAACAAATGAAAAGTCATCACAATCAGTTTAATTAAGTGCACAGAATAGCAATCAGTCATGTCAATAAATATAAAACAATTTATTTAAAAAGAAAGAAAGAAAGAAAGAAATACCATTTTGAAGCCAGCTCTGCAGTGCAGCAGCTAAGCAAAGCACAGAGGAAGCCAGATCTCACATGCCTGACCAGCACACAGGTCCTGGCCCCAGAGACTGAAAAACATGCTAGCCCAAGCACATGTCAGAGGGTCCTATCACAACAGAGAAACTGGAGGAGAAAGGACTGTAACATGACCAAGTTTCATTGGGGATGCTCTCTCTCTCTCTTGTGTGCATGTAATACCTTATATATCTATAATTCTTTATGAGAGAGGATAAATGTGATGAATCATGAGAAGTAGTGGGAGGTGGTCTCCAAAACTATTTGCAGAAAGAGAGAATGTACTAACAAAATAGAAAAAAATGTTCACATCACCATCCTGTCCCTCCCTTCCAAGCCTCCTTGTTTTTCCATATCTATGAGTGATTTCTCTTGTATTAACTGAAGTAAAATACCAGTGACCTCCAGTTGCCCCATCTTATGAAGTCGATAAGAAAAACAATAGAGCACCATAGAAACTTTTAACAAATCTTCTCACCTTTTTTAGTGAATTTCCAACAATAAAATTATCCAATATATAAATGACTTCCTACACATGCTCATTTGGATCCTACCTTTTAGGCCTACCACCCCAGGTCTACCTGTGCTTCTCCTACAGTTAGGGCCAACCTATGGGATTTCTCCTCAACCCCTCTTTTAGAACCAATAGATTGAACAATCAAATTTTTTGATCACTTCTCTTGGGAAACTTACCCTGAACCCAGGCCCATTGTGATTCCTGGATAGTGGATAAAATGCTCCAAGCTGCATCCACCGTCTGCAAAGCTCCTCTGTGACATCTTTTGAATAACCACAGATGTTGGCACCAACCTGGATAATTAGCACACATACATGTACAATGGTCAGTGAGAGAGGCAAAAATAATGACTGCTCCTATGTGATAAGGGGAAAGAGAGTCTCTTATTCCCATATTTCCTTGTGAATGCAAGTATGCATCACGAGATAGACTGAAGAAGGGAAGATGGCCTGGTATACAGGCAATGGTCTCTATATCAAGGACTCTTCCTCCATATTCAGTTCCCAGCTTCATACTTTTATACCCACTGATGCTCTCCTGATGGAATATTTCTGTGATACTAATACATCTTACGGTGTCTCCTTCCTACCTCCAGAGATTCCATGGACAAAAACCCATGATAAACTTTCATCTTCCTTCCTTCTGAAGACAACATATACCACACATAAAAATAGATTTTTTCAACACATTTCACAATGAGACATTTGCTCCTTAGTTCTTCGGACACCCTCGAAGTCTGGATGAAAAGAATGTCAAAGGATAAAGGGTTGACGATTCCCTCATTGGGAATGAGACTCACCATGGGGATGCCAAACAGGTTGAACTCAAGGATACTGGGGATGGACCATCGGAGGTCATTCCAGGTGGCCGCATTGTCCCCCAACCAATGGGCAGCAACCGTGCCGGATCCCGCAAAAGTAGAGCGGGATAAGATGAAGCTCCTGTTATTGGGGAAGAGAGACTCCAAGGCCCTGAAAAGTAATGCACCAGTTGAGGTGAGCTGTAAACATCTAGGACTCACCCTGTAGCAGGGGCAGCAGTGGGCTTTCTAACAAATCTGAGAAAAAGCATCGGGGGTCATATACCAGGTGGGAAAAGTGTGCAGCTTTTCTTTTTCTTTCTTTTTTTTTTTTTAATTAGAGTTTTTACTATAGGGCACATGTGCTCATTGGAAAGCCAGAGAGAAACAGAGAGACAGAAAGTGAGAAATCACCCCTACCCCCTTCTTCCCATTCCCAACCCAGTGCGGGATAGCCATGCCCTGATCCCCTCTCCTCCATCCTCCTCCTGGGATTTTGGGCATGCACACACACGCCCAGCTTTGAGTTTTAAGCTACCAGGTCTGGGGCTCAAACTGCAGTTGACTACGCAGGAGTCTAGTGACGTAACCATTATGCTATCCACTGGTGCCAGTAAGTGCAGCGTTTTTAAAAGCTTCTTTCCCCAATCTGGGTAAGGTTTTAGATATCAGAAGACAATATAAACTCCTACAATTCAGTCCCCAAAGAAATTTCTCTAGATTCCTATCCTCTTGATTCTGTTTTCTCCACCTTGCAGGACTAGGCTGTGGCCTGGTCCTTTTTGCCAACAATGTATTGAACTGTATATTGAGTTCATGGTCCCATCTCCTCCCTCTAGACAAAGTTTTTCTAATGCCCTTTGGTTTGACCTCTTGTTCAGCACAACTCCAGCTCAGGTGGGAACTCTGTACCCTCTGCCTGATTAAGATGAGGGTTGTGGGGCCAACAAATGACATTATGGTTATTTCACTGGACTCCCGTTATAGTCAACTGCAGTTTGAGTCCCAGACCTGGTAGCTTAAACTCATGCCTGGCATGCACGTGTATGTGCCCAAAATTCTGAGAGGAGAATGGAGGAGAAGGGATTGCTGCATGGCCATCCCCCTGGGGGGTGATTTCTGTTTCTCTTTCTTTTGGTCTCTCTGGCAAGTGCAGATACCTCATAGCAAAAGTCTCTCTCTAAAAAAAAAAAAAAAAAAAAAAAAAAAAAATCACACACCCAAAAAAAGATGTGGGGTTTATGCATGGGCCGATTTACCTCTGAAATCTCATCTCAGACCTTTTTTAGTAATTCACAATGTTAGCAAATTATAATCTATCCAAAATTGTAGTAATTGAAATGAATGTCACAATAGATGCTATATTGTCCTTTTTGTAAGGTTTAAAACAACTACAATAGAATATAATATTTCCATTGTATTACATATAGAATATTACATGTCAAGTAAGACTATATAGAAATTAAGCAAGGAAATTAAGAACACAAACATTTCAGAGTCATGTTCACTTGGGGGACCGGGAGGTCACAGGGAGGGTGACACATAGTTAGATGTAGGCTCTTTTCCCCCTTTTGTTCTGAGCACTCTTTTGCACAGGCACTGGACTGGAATGCCTCTTCCCCCCTTCTCCCTCGAGCTGAACAGGTCACCTTCCTTTATGGTTCTAAAATAGAGCCATAGGATGCTAACACCTGGGCCACTGGCTCTTTGCAGGGAAGCACTCTCTTCCCTTCCAATACACTATCTGAGACAAAAGCATGTTTTTATTAGTGGCTTCATGCAACTCCTCCTGACACCATCGCAGCCACCCAGGCCTCCCCATTTCATATTCCCAAGGGATACTCTGGGGAGTCTAGAAATGCAAAATGGCTTGTAACGGAAAAGGAAAAAATATAAAAATAGGAGATCAGCCTAAGAAACTGACAAAGTATTGATCAAAAAATAAGGGCAAGCTAGGGAACCAGCAGTTAGTGTAATGGTTATGTCACTGGACTCCCATGTAGTCAACCGCGGTTCACATCCCGGACCCGGTGGCTTAAAACTCATGCCGGGCGTGTGTGTGTGTGTGCCCAAGATCCCAAGAGGTGAATGGAGGAGAAGGGATTGCGGCATGACCATCCTCCCTGGGGGGGTGATTTCTCGCTTTCTGTCTCTATATCTCTCGCTGTCTGTCTGGCGAGCGCACGCGCCCTATAGCGAAAACCTCTCCAAAAAATATAAATAAATAAATAATAAGGGCAAGCTAGATGAGAGGACTCGGTCCTCAACTCCTACCCTCACTTCTCTGGATACACATGGGTGGGCATGGCCTTTATTGCCCCTGGCAGGTGGTTTATTGCACTCCACAGTCATCACTCATGAAAGAAACGCATTCAGCTTACAGAGAGTGAAATTGAAACTGACTGAGAACCGAGGTTCGTTTATTGTAGGCAAGCTATGACAGATTAGATTAGTTTAAAGGAAAAGCCTTTTTCAGAGACCCTTAAATTTCTCTTTTCCACCCCTTAAATTACTTCTTTTATACCAGGAAGAGCAACCTGGCCTATTTTTGTTTGAGCCCAGATGTCTGAGAGGGTCTGGTTTCCTTCTAAGTTGAGTTCTACTCCTTAGGAGTTCTGGTCCCACTGTCTCCAAACTACACCTCCAGCAAAGGCAGGGTCAAATATTCATCAAGCCCGTGATTTCGGTTCTCCTCATGTCCAGATCCCACTAAACGAAAATTTTATCTATTTTTTAACCCAACTCTGCCTGTACCCAAAGGCCAAGCTTCTCTTATCTCTGCTCTTCTCTGGAAACTCCGGTCAGTCCACCTGACCCAGGGAAGTTAGAAAGGTGACTACTACTTATTCGGCCATTGTTGCCCTTTAACTATTAACCAATAACTATCAGAATATATTAACTACACCATTATAACTTTATTGTACTTTTATCATATGGAAATACTGGCAATAAAGCAATTCAAAACCTACTTTCCCTCCTTCCATCTTCCCTTACTATTTCTTCCTTATCCTGGCCATTTATTCACTCATCTCAACTCCCATTCTTAAATAGAAGCATCCGAGGAGTCAAAATGTATTAGAACGGAAAGAGACTCTGGGACATGTCGATCCAAGTCTCTCATTTCAGAAATAAGGAAACCAAGTCTTACTCATCCAGTTTATTTCCCAGGAAAGGTAGAATGAGAGATAGTGTGAGTTCAGGAAAGGGAAGATGACAAATCCAGAAATAGGTGTCATTCTTCTTGGGGCTTTTTTTTGACTGAAATACAATCTTTTGCATTTGCTGGACCAACACTCTCCCTCATCTGGACAATGCAGCGTAATACAAAATCATGAGGGCAAAATGGTGCTGAGAAACAAAACAGGCCTGGTCTCTGCCTCTAACTTATCAGGTCTCCTGTGTGTCCATCCTGTGCCTCTTCTCTTTCTCAAGCCAAGCATCTATCTAGCAAATAAGTTCTTCAGCACACACATTCTTTTTTAAAAAAATATTTTATTAATTTTATTTATTACCACTATTTTTTCATTTGACCAGAGAAAGACCAAGACAGAGAGAAAGAGCCACCAGGTCCAGAACTTAAACTGTAGTCGACCATATGGGAGTCCAGTGTCTGAACCAACACCACCACCTGCCAGCTCCCAGCACACTCACTCTTTAAAAGGCTGAGGATACAGGGGTGAATTTACCCTCAAGGAACTTATAGTCCAGCAAGAAAAAACAATAAGTATTTGAAAATTATGATACAATATCTCTACATATTAAGTATACTGCAGTATGAACACATGTACAACAAAAAAAGGAGAAAACAATCTTTTTCTATAATTCCCAAGAAAGTGTCCAGAATTGATATCTGAGTTGAGGTTTAATAGATAAATACATGTTGGCAAAATGGACAGGAAAAGGAAGCCCATCTCATGCAAAGAAAATAACACATGAAAAACATGAAAAAAAATGAATAACATTTGGATTCGGCAATAATAAGCAGTTATGTATTACCAGAGCATGAAGTATAAAAAGCAGCAAACATGAGAGAAAAAGAGTAAGAAAGGGTTAGATTACAAAGATGCCTATAGATTGTGCTACAGTAATTAGATTTCATTGTATAGAAAATAGCAAGTCACAAAGTCTTTTCCACTGGGAAGAGAAATAAGCCAACGTGTGCTCAGAAATAGCAATCTGACAGCAGTGTGGAGTGGCACTTTTTAATCTTTAACACACAATCACTACAACCAGGGACCCTGTTAAAATGTAGATTTTGATTCCCAGTATCTGGGTTGAGGCCCAAGATATTGTACTTCTAATACTTTCTGACAATGCTGATGTTGCTGGCCTTTAGGCAACATTTTGAGTAGGAAGAGTAGAAAATAAATTATTTGGATATAAGGCTAAAATCAGGGAGACTAATCACGGGCCTAGTGTAACGATCTACGTGAGATGAGTGTGATCTTAAGACGTCAGGAGGAAAAAGAGATGATTATAGAAATGTTTCAAAAGTGTAAGTAAAAGGGTCAAGGACTGATTGCATGTGAGGGCTTGAGAAAAAGAAAGGACAATGCTCCATTTCTCACTTTGGAGTTTGAAGGACAGGAGTGATATGGCTCCCAATCAAAACTGACAATGTAAGAGCTTCAAAAATGATTATCCAGGGTGTGGGAGATTAGACAAAGATAAGTAACAGTAGTGGGTGACATCTGTGATACAAAAAAACATGCAAGTAATATATTCATGCCTGAAAATCTATGTGTTACTGTAGAATGAATAAAAAGGAAGAAAATGCAAGTAATATATTCATGCCTGAAAAATATATGTGTTACTGTAGAATGAATAAAAAGGAAGATTGAGAATTCACCCTTCAGGCTCAGAAGTAGATAGAAAAAATGCAGACACAGAGGTTGAGAAGGGATACCTGTAAAGAGAGGAGGTATCCCAGGCATAGTTGTGTCCCAAGGACTAAAGGACCAGGGTTTCCAAGGAGTGGTCAAGACCTCAAGTACCACAGGGACAGAAAAGTCACATAAGGTCAGGAATGAGGCATGTCCCATAGTGCATCAAAGTCTCCCAGCCCTTGTCCCTACCATGGAGCTCTAGACACGCTAAAAGAATAGCAGAGGAAGACTAAGACGTTCTTTCCTAAGCCACTGAAAGATCCTCAGCAGCTTTAGTTTTCCCACCTTTGTTGCAAAATTTAAATCTACCACCTAAAATTAAAAGCTTAGCCTCTGATTTCTTGCTCTGCTAAGTGTAAGGATTGTATTTTACCATCTTCCAAGGAAGGAACTGGGCATAGGAGGGTAGAAGCTATTCCTCAATTTACAAAGTTGTCAGCTAAAAAAATCGATGCTATAATGTATAAAAAGGAGGGAATACTTTGCAGGAAACGTATGTCTCCTTGTCAGGCTTTCATTATGAGTAGTGAGGGTGATAGCAGTAGTGACGGTGGTGCTGGTGGAGGCAGTGGTGGTGACCATGGGGATAATGATAGTGGCCATGATCATGATGGTAATGATAATAGTGACAGTGATCACGATGATGATGGGGATGATGACAGTGATGGTGGGGGTATGTGTGTGTGTCTCAAGGCAGACGGCAGAAATGAGAGGAGACTAGAGCATGGAGTAGGGAGAAAAGCTAAGAGGATGAGGTGTAGCATTGCCAGAAAATGCAGGGAACCCAGGTAAATTTTAATTTCAGGAATACAATGAATAACTTTTAGTATAAGTATTTCCCACATGAATTTGTGTCCTACTTTTTATTTTTCTGAAATCAAGTGACTCTCTCATGTAGTGACCATAGAACAGTAAGTAGTAAGACCTAAGCAAGGGCTGACTTCCAGTCGGTGGTTCAGCATGTCATACTTATTATTGCCTACTAGTATCTTTGCAATAAAGAAGCCCTATAGCCACAAGGAAGTCAAGGATAACCCTATACAGAATCCAACAGTCTGTGTGAGAGGACTTCTGCAGAGCCCTGTAAGACCAGACTTTTATATCCTAGTAACTGAGAGGGAAAAAAAAAAATCTTAACAGTGTACATAGAGAAGAGAAACCCACCACCTCCCTCCTTCCCCAATCTTGAATTAAGGGAAAACAAATCCTTACGAGTTTGTGGCGTTTGCCATGAAGTAGCCATAAAGACTGTGGATGTCGTAGTGAAAGCCCTTTTGAAATTCTGTGTCCATACAGAGGGTTCTTGAAAAAAGTAAGCGGTCCAGGACTCCTGAGGGAAAATACCAGTGAAACACTTACTTTTTAAACAACTTTAACACAATAGCCACCCGGTCATTTCCTGTTTGGTTATTGTCAATCCCCACCTGATTAAATCCTTTCCAGATTTTAAATTCCATCCTAAATATCATTTCCTACTTGGGGCCTAAATTGAGTCCCCAGTAGAGATGGATCATTAAAATTAATGTGCATTGCCTTGAGCTCACAAAGGTCGGTGGTGAGTAGAAGCATCCGAGAAACATGCTCAGAACAATGGCCAGTAGATCTAAGATCCAATACGAAGCACAGAATGCCTACATACATGTATTTAATTAAGACCGGCATGTACAATGGACAGGTATGAGGGCAGTGGAGACATTTTCACTTTTGTATTACAACCACATTTAGAGTCTTCGCCAAGATTATTTAAGGGAGAAAAAAATGATAAACTGATCCAGAGAGGAAACAAACATGGACTACAGACTGAGCAGAAAAGAATAGAGAATAAATTGGGAAAGCCAACTGTAGGCTTTGCAAGAAATTGAATGGTTTGAAGTTAGGACTCCCTCAAAAAAATCCTTTCCAGGCCAGCAGATGCTGTGGCAGTTGAGATCAGCTGGATCCCACATGGCCACCCGCACAATCTGAGTCCCAGACCCTGTGGCTTGAAAAAATGCTGACTGACTGCACATGTGTGCCCAAAATCCTGAGAGGAGAATTGAGAAGAAGGGATTGTGGTATGGCCATCCCCCCACCACCACCATGGGGTTGCTTGCTCACAGACCCCTCCTCCCCAAACAAGAGCACATGCTCTATAGCAAAAAATTAAAAACAAGACTAAGCAAAAACAAACAAACAAAAACTTTCCTTAAGTGACCAAAATAAGTTTAAAAGAAAAATATAGCTAACCCATGGTACGAGTGGTATAATTAAAGTGGAAAACCAGAATAAGCTGGCACAGACTTTCCAGGAGCCCTTCAGTTGGGGTTTTACTTCTGGGAGTATGAGAAGATTGTACTTGAAAATGATTCCTTCCCTTGAAGTTAAGTTGAAGCTATGTGACAAGATTCTGGAAAAGGAATGTGGGCAGATTGGATACATCCTACTTCCAGGCCTGCCCGCAAAATTCCCTCCTCTTTCCTCTGTCACCTTCGCCCATGAAGCTGGAAAACTAAGGCTTCTGAAATCGGAGAATCAGACAATGGATAAAACTAGATCTCTGAGTCACTGCTTGGATTCAAGCTCCTCACTGGAGTATAATATGAGCAAAAAATAAAGTTTTATTGTATTAGTCCATTGAGATATTGGGGTTTGCTTCTAAAGCATGTGTATTCTACACAACTATGCATTACAAACACATGTACACATGTGCACACACCACACACACATTCTTTTAAAATCAGTGACTGGAAAATCAACTGTGGCTACAAATGGGACCTATAAATGAAATATTTAAAGAACCATTGATGAGTTGAACTGTTGCAAAGGAAAGAAGGAGGAAAGAAGAAAATGGGGAAGAAAGGAAAACAGGAAGGGAGGAGGAGAGAGATAAAGGAAAAGAGAAACAAAAAGGAAAAGAGAAAAGGTGGAAAGGAAGTAGATAGAGAAAGAAAGATAAAGGGAGAAAGGAAGAGAGAGAGATAAAGAAAAAAATTGACAAAATCACAGATGTACTCAATGTAAAGTAGTTTTTACCTCAAAGTAATCTGAAATTATCATGGAGCTCAAAATTAAACTATTTAAGGGTTTTGGATGGAAGCGAACAGGATGAAAAGATTTGGACCGCCAAAGTGGAAGGACAGATAGGGGAGGTAGGCAGACAGAGTAATTCTCACATGCTCGCCCTTGGATTATGGGAGCAAAAAGGTTATCAGAGACCAAGCAATGCAACAAACTCCACTCACAGAGTAGTCAGGACATTTGAGATTCCCTTGGAGAGAGCAGTGAAATTGCTCTTCATACTGAGTATTATTGAGATTTAACTGTTAAAACATGTCTCATAGTCCACATTATTAGTAAACAGATGAAAACTTACTAGGAGTGAAGGGAGGAAAGTTCAAGCTGTTTGATTCACACTCAGGACCAGGACGTTGACGAAAGCTAGATAGTTCATCCATTTCCTTTAAAGACACAACACACAAAACGAAAAATGTTACAGACAATTAGCTGTTCAGAAATGTTGAAGCCAGAATGACAGGGCAAGCAGATGCCATAGTGGTTATCTCACTGAACTCTCACATGTCCAACTACAGTTTAAATTCTGGGCTCAGTGGCTTGAAGCTTATGTTGGGCACATGCACTTATGTGTCTGAGATTCTGGGAGGAGAAAGGATCGTGGCATGGCTATACTCCCGGAGGATGATTTCTCACTTTCCCTTTCACTATCTGTCTCTCTCTCTCTCTCTCTGGTGAGCACTGCAATCAAAGGCAAAAACCTCTCCAAAAAAAAAGAAGGAAAAAAAGAAAGAATAACCAGGATATCTAGGGTCTCCTATTAACTGGATTTTAGATTTTGAATAACCTCCCTAATATTTCTTGGTCTTTGATCTTTTGTAAAATTAAGTCATTGGATTTAATTATATCTAAGGTACATTTCAGTTCTAAAGACATTAGACACATTTTACCTTTTAATAAACTGATTTTAATTGAAATATTTCAAGTGGAAAAAGAAAGAAGGAAAACATTTAAGGGACACTAAAATAGAAAATTATCTATTGATGATAGCATGTATAATAATATCTTTAACTGGACTAATATATAGTATATTCATGCTGGGAAAATTCATTTTGCATTTTGTAATGATATACAGTGATTGAATGTATAAAAAACAAGTTCAGAAACAGGTATATTGTTATTAAAATATTGTTTTATGGATAAAAAATATAAATATTTCAAAGGCTAATTCTTGGCTTATAAATTGTGAACATTTTATTGTTGATGTTACTGTTTTAGTATTGTTTGAAAGAACCCAAGATAGAGTAACATTTATATTTTATAAATTTCGTGTCTTGTATCCCACTGAGCAACAATAACAGAATATAATTGAGGTCAAATCTATTCCTTTAAAAATAATTAAAAATAAGTAAGTCTAATCTTGCTAACAAACCAAAATACCTTTTTGATTTCAAAAAATTTCCCTCTTCCTCTCATAAGAACTCAAAATCCTCTTAAATTATTGTTTAATGATTGGCTTCAAATTTTTGTGAATCAATGCTATAAATAATAATGATCATAGCTGTTAATAAAACAGTATTCTTTTTTTTTTTTTTTTTTGAGAGGTTTTTGCTACAGGGCATGTGTGCTTGCCAGAAAGAGAGAGACAGTGAAACAGAAAGTGAGAAATCACCCCCCCGGGGGGTTTGACCATTCCGCAATCCCTTCTGTCTATTCTCCTCTTGGGATCTTAGGCATGCACAGACACATGCCTGGCGTGAGTTCAAGTGACCCGGTCCGGGACTCGAACCGTGGTCGACTACATGGGAGTCCAGCAACATAGCCATAATGCCAACTGTTGGTCCCAATGAAGCAGTATTCTTAAGCGGGAAAGCAATTAATGGAGGAAAAGTTGAGGCCGTGAAAAATTAAAGGACTCTTTAAAAATGAAATAATCAGTTGGTGACAGAGCCAGATTAAGAATCCAGGGTTTGTTTGTTTGTTTTTGAGAGAGATCTTTGCTATATGCTGCATGCACTTGCCAGAAAGACAGACAGAGACAGAAAGACAGAAACTGAGAAGTCACTCCCCGACCCCGGCGGGATGGCCACGCCACAATCCCATCTTCTCCATTCTCTTCTAGGGATCTTGGGCACACATGCACATGCACCCAACGAATTTTAAGCCACCGGGTCCAGGACTTGAACTGCAGTCAACTACATGGGAGTCCAGTGATGTAACTAGTATGCCATCTGATGGTCCAAGAATCTAGAATTTTCAAGGGCCTAACTCACCATATATATACTTAGCTTTAAGTAAAAGAGTTTTCAATACCACTATGTCATGCAAACTATTTTGTTACAAATCAGGGTCAAATTTTATCTAAAAATTTGGTGTATCCGTTTCCAAGGGAAATATGATTCTGGAATAAACTTACAATCCACACTCCATCAAATGCTAACTCTGTATGAAATTTAGTGAGCTCCTCCTTCCACCACTGAATGCATTCATCATTGCTATAATCAGGGAAAACTGTTGGTCCAGGATATCCCTAGAGAACAAAGCAAAACTCTGGCAATTAGTTTGTTAGTTCACTTACTTGTTTCTTACTGGTCATTATTCTTCTACTAGAAATCCCATGTTGCTTATTATTCTAAAATCAAAATTTATTATTTCGCCAACAAAAATTAAACAGCCAAATAAAAGGAAAGAACCAAAGAGGGTGGGGAGAAGAAAATGAAAAACAACTGATATGATAGATGAAAAGTCATCCTATGGTCTTTTCAATGAAAAAAAAAAAAGCATTTCTTTATGTCAAGCCAACCAAGAGACAAATTGTTTAAAATATTGGTAAATCTATATATTGTTTAAAAAGAGAAAGATAAGCTTATTTATTTTTTCTATGAGAGAAAAAAACTCAGAGTTACCCTCAGTAGGGTCTTCACATCACAACCCACCCTCTTCAGAGCATTGTGTTACCACTGAGCTAATGTGCTGTTAATTAAACATATATATTATTTTAAAACATACGTATTATTTTAAGATAACCATATGGTACAATGTACATAAGAGAACCATATGGCACTTGATGCCCACATGGCTAACCATAGTTTGAGTCTCAGACCTGGTGACTTGCTTTCTCCCTTTCCCTCTCTCTTTCTCTCTCTCACTCTGTCCCTCTCTGGTCAAATTAAAACAAAAAAAAAATAAACTTAAATAAATAATTTGTTGTTGTTTTTTTTTTTTTTGGAGGGCGCGTGCGCTCGCCAGAAAGACAGAGAGAGACAGAGAGACAGAAAGAGAGAAATCACCCCCCAGGGGGGATGGCCACTCCGCAATCCCTTCTCCTCCATTCTCCTCTTAGGATCTTGGGCACGCACATGCACCTGGCGTGAGTTTAAGCCACCGGGTCCAGGACTCAAAACGCGGTCAGTTACATGGGAGTTCAGCGACATAGCCATTATGCCAACTGCTGGTCCCAATAAAATAATTCTTTAAAAAATAAAATTTAAAAATTTACATTAAACCCACTTTAAACAATTTTTGTTATAAATATTTAGAGATTTTTTACATATGAATGAATAATATTTTATAAATGGTTAAATGAAGTTTGTACTTCTTTACTTCCTACTAGGGTTAAATATTTATTATCTTGTCTCCCTTTCTTATCTATGTCTATCAAAGAATAGATGTAAACATCTTCCACAGAAAGCACAAAAAAATTATTAAAAATTCTGAATAGGACACAAACTTTATGCAACATTCTTCCTCATTTTTCAACAAATTGATAAGTTGCAATTTAAGGAAAAGTGAATTCTCAGACAACATAATGAATATATATATATATATATATATTCACACACACATATACACACAAAATGCAGAGAATTCTTGCAAATTGAGATGGGAGTTGAAATTTTCACTTTAAATGAACTGAGTTTCTGGTCCTTTGTTTTAGATGATGGGCACCATGGATTAATTAGAGATAATTTTGAATTTCAGTAAAAAGGTGGATTGGTAAAGCAATCACCTACAGAAACATTCAACCCAGACCACGCCTAGCAAATTTCATTCTAACCAAATGCATTTAATAATAAACCCCTACCAATATCCACACTGTGATCTCTGCTACCAACCTTAATTAATTAATTCATAGTTTTTATTGGTCAATGGAGATAACACCTAATTAAATTCTTGTAATTATACAGAGATTCTTTATTAAACACCACCCAAATAGGAGCAAAATTGAAATGACTCACAAGTATGGATAATTTTTAGATAACTCAAATAACTTTTATTTGACTATGGCCTATTAATATGGGTCGAATATTTCAAAAACTCATCTTAAAATAATAAAAGCAAAGACTTGGTTTGGAGAAAAAAGAAAATACTCTACTGCTTCATGAAAAATTAGAATCAATCATAAAGAAAGTAAATAGAGGCAAACATTGTATACAAAGTCAATGAGAAGAATTAAATGAGCAGAATTAGGTAAGGTCCCATTAGTAACTCTGTAAAGACCATTCAGCAAAGTAAACTGCCCAGGAGCAATAAGAATTTCAGTCACAGGAAGATTCAGAGTTTTTAATTAATTATCAAATTTAGCTAATCTCACATAATCCAATCATCTGGAGTTTTGTTGTTTTTTAAATAGAAGTTCACATGTGTGATTTGATTTAAAATGTTTTCAGAAGCTTAAGTGTCCTGAAACTAGGCACTCAGCCTATTCCAATGCCAAAACTGCTACCTTATTATCAAGGCTGGGTTTAATTTTTTTGTTGTTGTTTAATTTTTTTTTTTTTAGAGAGAGAGATTTTTGCTACAGGGCATGTGCACTCATTGGAGAGGTAAAGATAGAAAGTAAGAAATCACCCCTGGGGTGATTTCCCACAATCCCTTCTCCTCCATTCTCCTCTCTGGATTTTAGGCACTCACATATACACACCGAGCATGAGCCTCAAGTCACTGAGTACGGGACTCGAACCACTGCAGATTATGTGGGAGCCCAACAACATAACCATTGCACTATCTGCTGGTCCCAACTGGGTTCTATTTTTAAGTTTTGTGTAAATTAAATATATATTACCTGATCCAGGTTCCATATTAAATTATGAGCATCTTGTTACATGATCATAGTTAAATGTATTATTTTATGGAAGAGACACTTAGAAGCAGAAAGACCTTAACTGAATTTCATATTTAGATACCACTTCTCAATTATCTGTAGTATTACAAGATCAATAGGTAGCTTTTTTAGTCCTTCGGCATTTTAATCATGCCATTATTACATTTACTGGCTTATAATAATGAAAGAAACCCCTAAAGTCATGAAAACGGTAATGATATTATAACTTGTCTTTCACCCATCTTCATGCCAAAAGTACAAATGTCTCCAAACGACTGCAATTCACTCTGATTTTCTTGAGAAATTACCTCTCCAACAGCAAAGCCATTGCCATCCAAGATCCATACTCTCTTTGTGTTGCCATTCTGATAGGGTTGGTACCCAGAAGTATTAGAGATGCCAGGATGCTAAAAAAAAAAAAGGAAAAAAAAGAAATACATTATAGATCTTATTATTGTACATTTATTTTGCACTTTGAGAGACAAGAATAAGGCAGCAGGGTAGGTAAACATACCAAGATAATGACATACTTCTGTCCTTTGTCATGTAATTCTTCGGCAAAAGCTGGGAGATCAAGGTAAGCGTTGTTTAAAGTAAAATCCTTCTTTCCATCCATATAGTCTATGTCAGAATACTGGACATCCTAGAAGACATTGATCAGCGAAAACCCAGGAAATACCCAGCTGACAGGAAGTACTATAGTTCTAGTTCTTGACGTTAAAATAGAAGCCATATTCTCATGTGAATCTAGAACTTCCAGGACTCAGCGATTGCCTAGAGGTAAGTAAGCCCTACTTAAAAGATGCGGCCACTCTTAGGTTACAGGTTTACCTCCTTGACATAACAGATGCACACCATTAGCTATTAGGGAAGGAACTACATCTTTTTCATTTCTGCAACTTGACAGCTTGGATGCTAGACATAAAGCAAGTGCTCTTTCAATGTTTGTTGGAATGAATATATTAATAATGTTATAATCTCATGCTTAGACCCCAAACATCAAGCTAGAATAAACAGACAGGGAAAACCTTTTCCCTATAAACCTGGTAGAGTCAGGCCAGCAGGTGCCATGTAGGTTAAGACAGCTGAATCCCACATGGCCAACTGTGTGTTCAAGTCTCGAACCTAGCGGCTTAAAAACCACACTGGGCATGTGTCAGTCCATGTCCAAAATTCCAAGAGGAGACTAGAGGAGAAGGGTTTGTGGTGTGGCCATCCCCCCAAAGAGTTGATTTCTTACTTTCTCTCTCTCTCTCTCTCTGGTAAGTACACATGCTTATAGCAAAACTAAAAAAATAAAACAAAACAAAAACACTACTAGAGTCAACACAGCAATATGTCAGAGGGATAGAGCTTTCATGAGCCAAATTCTCACACATACATTATTTCTTCCATCTGCACACCAACCTATGAGGTGCAGGTATTACCCTTAGTGACAAGATTGAAATCTGAGGAAGTTAAGTGACATTTCCCAAAATCATGTGCATGAGTAGGTGAGGACTGATTGGAGATTTGGAGATTAGAAGATAGGCCCTTTATCTCAACCTACCCCATTCCTTAAAGACATGCAAGAGTCTTCAAAGCATTCCTCATGTAGTCATGTAAGCATGACTCTAGCTTACAGACCTAAAAAATTGTTGCCCAATGTAGCACATCTGTTCTCATACTGAGCAGTCATTGGGACCTGGTATCTTCCACAGCCACATATAGGGAAGAACCAAGTCCATGGGAGAAAGGTTCATTTGTTTCTGATCAAGCAACTTCAAAGGAGCCCTCCCCACTAGAGGCAGGAGAATAGAGGGGAACCAACACATGCAAAGTCAAAAGAAAGGGATTCGAATACTAGTTCTGACACTTATCTAATTGTATGACTCTGGAAAAGTTATTAACCATACAGCCTCCATTTTCTCATTTACAAAATAGTAATAAATGAGGGCTAACCATGAATGTACAGCTCTTTGTGAAATAATAAAGGTGTGGCAATTTTTAGTTTGATTCTTTTTGAAATTGGTATCTGCAGATAAGTCACAAGAGTAAAATTAAGTATATAATCAGTTTTCTGTTAACACCAAAAGAACATAATGAGCATCAGTTTTCTCACAGGAAAAATCAATCACCTTCCCTGCCCTCACTGTGACTCTAAGACAGAGTTGAGGAATTCTGAGATCAGGGTGACGTGATTTACACCTGTTCAACCTTGCTTCGCATGCTAACACACATATTCTTGCCTCAAAACTTCTAAGTTTCAAAGAGCTAGTCCAGAGTAAGTCATTTCAATAACTTCATTAACTGCATGTTATACGTCTCCTAGAGGAGCATATCGAATATTATAAATATAATAATAATCTTTTGATTTAATAGTGAACATTGAATATCATAAACTCTTTGTAAACATAGAGCTTTAAAATTAGAATATGCAAAACCTGGAAGGAGATTATGTTACTATGAGAAACTCATTTACTCTAAGTCATTGTTGTAATCATCAGCTCTTATTAATCATGTTCTCTAGGTGTTTCTTTCTCCTATAATATACCCGTGAACTTTGATGGAGTTCATCTTCAGTACTACATCCTTCACATGCATAATATAGGATATTCCCTTCTACCAACTCACAAAGTATTATATTCTCATTTTATAAAGGTGTGAACCACGCCTTGGAGATGGTACTTAAGTAGCCCGGTTCTACAAAGAGCTATGAAGAAAGAGATCTAGAATTCAAAGCCATAGCTATATGACTACATAAACTATGTACTGTCTTTAAATTAGATAGGTAATTTATCATGCATGCCTGTCTATTTTCCTATATACCAATATATCTAAAGTTTCCCCTTAATACTTAATGCATAAAAGAAGTCCCAACTTACATATGGGATTCCAGCTTTACGAGTTCTGCTCACAACTTCTTTCAATCCATCGATGCCACCATAATCCCTGCGACTAAGCTGGAACCCAAGACTCCAGTAGGAAGGCAAAAATGGTCGTCCAATAAGCTGAAAAGAGATGTCAAGAAGTATCTAAGCTTTTGGAATAAATACTGTTTGTAGCGCCATCCCCAACACTGGAAACATCAGCTCCATTTCATTTTCTGTAACGTCCCTAGATTTAAAAATGTCAGAACCAAAAGTTATTTCCTAGGGTAATGTGGGAAATCTGACAATTTACGCCCAAGTGCCTAAATGAATTCACAACTGCAACATCAGAAAACAAAAGGTTTTGCCGAAAATGCTTGGGTCATGGTGTCATCTGGGGGAGGGGCAGAAGGGGGAAACAGTAAAATTCCTTATAGTAAGTACTTTCTGAGTGTTTATGCTGAGGCAAGGCTGATGTAGGCACTTGGAATAAAGTGGCACACAAAGAAAACACATACATCCTGCCCTCCCAGAGCCTAAAGGAATAAACATCTATTAGAGAGTGCTTTGTGCTAAGGATAAAGGAATAGGACTGATCATGTTAGGAGCGAATGTCTAACATCAGTTTTCCAAGCTGCTTAAGTCAACACTCTGAGAAAGATTTAGCGAGAAGCCTGGGTCGCATCTTTCTCAGAGCTTCTGCCTTCCAACGTGAGGGTTCTTTCTCTTGCATTTCTTCATTCCCATACAGTTGACTCATACCTCACCAATGGTTCTTATTACAAAGTGTTTCGTACTGGTATTATTTTGGGCTGTGTCGTATTTCTATCTGATTCTACATTCACTGGCATCTGGGGTCACTTTTCACACGCCTTTATGTGTCATCTTAAATGAATCACTTTATCTTTCTGTGTCTGAGTTTTATCATCTGTGAAGTAGGAAGTGTCTAAAGTTCCTGCCATTCCTGTAGTTTGAACCAAATATAAACAGCTAGCAAAGTTTCTTTCACGTAGTTCCTTTTCGCTGAATTTTTATTTATTGAGAGACTACATAAGCCTTGCTGATCTGTTGCCTTAGGCCTTTGGAATGATTGCTCCTACATGGATGGACTGAGTTTCTTGAAAGGAAGATGGTATCTGATTTATTTTTGCATTTCTCAAGCTTTGCACAGTGACTCTTTGAAATTAAGAAAGTGCCCAATAAATGTCATCAGAATCAACAAAGAATAAATGAAAACCTCTACAGTCCCAACACTTATAAGCCATAGATGTTTACTAAAGCCTTTCATTTTTCTCTTAGTTTAAAATGAATGTATGTGATAATAGGAATAAATAAATGCAAAGCGATACCTCCAGGTATTCCTGAACCACTTGTTCTGGAGTGTTCCCGAGAAATACATAGAAGTCAAGAATGCCTCCAATCGTGCGGTAAGTGATCGCAGGAGCAGGCTGGAGGGTGACCTCTGAAAAGATTAAAATGAGAGTTCTGAGAGTCTTATGGCTGAAAATATACTCTTCTCTAAAACGGGAATAGCTGCATGATCCAAATCAGTTTGTCTCGTTTAGAAAGGAATGAAAATTACACATTCCTTTTATTAGAGGTGTGTTTATTAAAAAGTTGAATGAGTGGGACCAGCAGATGACATAATGGTTATGTCACTGGACTCCTACATAGTCAGCCACGATTTGAGTCTCAAACCCAGCAGCTTAAAACTCACGCCAAGCGCATGTGTGTGCGTGCACAAAATCCCGAGAGGAGACTGGAGGAGAAGGGAATGAGGCATGCCCATTCCCCCATGGGGGATGATTTCTCACTTTTTCTCTCTCTGTCTCTGTCTTTTTTTCCAATGAGCTCACATGTCCTATATATATATATATATATATATATATATATATATATATATATATATCAACACCTTAAGCAGTTTTCAAAGAATATATCTTTAAGTATGAACTGGATTTATAGACAGGTTAATCCACTTTTAGATTCCAGTTTCAACAAAAATATTGTTGCTTCAACACACCTTCTGTCAAACAGCAGTCTCACCATAAAAGTGACTTTTTATAAAAGCAGTACCCCAAAACATATTTCTACACTTAGAAGATAAAAATATGCTGCTTACCCATGGCATTACTGTTCATTAGAAAAACTCCAAAAGAAAAGCCACTGGTGTCTTCAAGGCACAAGAAGAATGTATGAGCTCCATACAGATTAATCATATCCTACCAGCAGAAAAGAAAGAAGTCATAGTATTATGTTAAAAATCTTATTCACCCGAAAAAAAATCAAGAGCTGTGTATAACATGTACTTTGTCAACACTTGGTATAGTTTAGTACTATACCTAAGGAGCATTGAAATGGTATCATCCACTGACAAATAGATAAACAAAATATGGTGTATCCATGCAATAGAATACTAGTCAGCAATAGCAAGAAATAAAATACTGATACATGCTACAACATGAGTAAACCTCAAAAACTGCTTTGCTAAGTGAAAGCAACAGACACAAAAGACCATATGTTGTTTTGCATGGTTCAGTTTTATGAAATTTATATGAAATGTCTGGAAAAGTCAAATTGTGGTAAGACAGAATGTATAAGGACAGAAGCATGCTTAGTCAGAACAGTGCTTGCACATCGATGTTTATGCAGTATTATTCACAATTGCCTAGACATGGAACCAACCCAAATGGTCATGAACAGAGGAATGGATTGAAAAAGTGTGGCACATATACTCTATGGAATACTACTTAGCCATAAAAAACAAGACCCTGGCTTTTGAGAAAAAAAAAAAAGGATGAATGTGGACGACTTATTGCTGAGTGAAGCAAGCCAGGCTATGAAGGAGAAACACTGGATGTCTCCACTTAAAATATACCAACTGTTCGCACTCTATGGCTGAAACTGAAAGACTAGAGGATATGGAAACAGAGAAAATGGTTATAGATACCAGATACGGTGTGGGAAGAGGCTGGGAGAAGGAGGACAGTCTGAGAAAAGACATTAAGGAGAAAAACAGAGAGGCAAGACATTTATGGGACAAAGAAATGGGTTATTATCTGTTGAAGATAATGTGTTTAGCATTCCCAACTGGACTGGTAAGAAAGGTATTCGTGTTGGAATATTCACCTTACAAGCTAAGTGACATATGTGATTGAAAGTATGAAAGAAATTGAAATAAAATATATGTCTATAAAAAAAAGACAGAATGTAGTTTGCCTGCAATGGGAGTGGGTGCTGGGGTAAGAATAGGTTTAAGTTTAAAAGGGCATGAGGGGGACCAGCAGTTAGTGTAATGGCTATGTTGCTGGACTCCTATGTAGTTGACCGTGGTTCAAGTCCCAGACCCGGAGGCTTAAACTCACGCCGAGCACGTGTGCATGCATGCCCAGGATCCTGAGAGGAGAATGGAGGAGGAGAAGGGATTGCAGTGTAGCCATACCCCCTAGGGGGTGATTTCTCACTTTCTGTCTCTCTGTCTCTCTCTGTCTTTCTGGTCAGCGCACACGCCCTATAGAAAAAAAGAAAAAAAAAAAAAAAAAAAAAACCTCTCCAAAAAAAGAATTAAAGAAGGGCATGAGGAATGATCCTATTGAGGTGATGAAAATGTTATAAATCTGGATTATGATGATGATTGCACAACTCAGTAAATGTGTTAGAATTAAGTGACTTGTACACTTAAAACAGGTGAATGTTGTGGTATATAAATTATACCTCAGTCCAGTTATTTTTCTAATTGGGAAATATTTGCAGTGACATATACCAACGTGTTAGAAGATGATAGTCTTGTGCGTAATTTTTAATGTCTTTATGCCTAACTGTGTTTTCTCATCCTTCTACATACATGTAATACTTAGGTAGTAAAAAAGTTTTTAGAAAATGATATTGACCCTGTTGCAAGGCTGTGATAAACTCTGAAATAAAGAGGTTACTGCACCGTAAGAATAAAAGATACTGAATTGATAACGTGCACAAAGGTTTACAGAAGTTCCTTTTGTGAAAGTGTCATGATCTTACCCTCTGGTATAGGACAATAGTATTGACAATAGTAAATTCCAAAAGGAGAGAAGAAGAGAATCAGTATAATGTGCAAAATAGAAACAAAAATGTACCCAGGCTAGATTTTGATGTATAGCCAGGAAGATGTGTAGCATCAATGCTTGGGTAGAATACATACTAAAATTTTAGTATTTTGAAGGGAAGAAAAGAGGGGGGAGAGGAGAGAATAGAAAAAGGTAGGAAGGGAGGAATGGTGGGAAGGAGAGAGGAGGCAGTTAGTATAATCTGTTACTATACAGTTTAAGAATTCAACTGTACGAGCTGCCAGGCAAGGTGGTTAAAGGTGCTGGACTCCCACATGGCCGACCACAGTTTGATTCCCAGACCTAGTGGCTTGCTTTCTTACTTTTTCTCTCTCTCTGTCTCCCCCTGATGAAACTGGAAAATAATAATGATAAATAAAATTAAAATTTTTTAAAAAGAATTTACTGTAGGAAGTCAAATTTAATATGATGCTTAGTCTTCCATTTACCAGAGTCCTGACCAAAAGTTTGGTCTTGCTTTTTTCTCTTTTGTTCAGTTCAATAAGTATGCACCCTTCTTTGCATCAGATACTGGTAGGTGGGCTACAAGTTAACATGCTACTTGGTTTTGTTCATCTCCTGCAGAACATGAAGGGCAAAACATCAGCCCCACCCCTCGCTTGCACCATACTTTACCCTGAAGCTCATGCACAGACTTAAAGAACATCATCAGCACAATGGAGACTTCAAGATATGCTCTACAAACCTAAGTATTATATGAATACTGGTTCCTCCCCAAACCCTTTGCTATCAACCAACAACAAAATAAATACAAAAATGAAGAGTAAGGTTAGGAACTATTTTATAGCTAACTAAAAGCTAACTATTTTAAAGCGAACTATTTTATAGCTTATTCTGTCTATTTAACTTAACATTTGGGTTTGTATCTGGTATCTCTTTGGTTTATATTTATTTCATTTTCCTGGTAGTTTAATTGTCCTTTATAAATTTATTGCCCAGGTTGTATTAACAGCAACAAAAGCTACTGGTCCTTCACCCAGACAAGTTGAGAGGCCCAGGTCTAGAACAGCTCTTCTAGTCTTTGACATCCACGCGATTCACCTGTGTATCTTGTTAAAATGAAGACTGATTTATTGGCTCTGGACTATGGCCCGAGATCCTGCATTTCTAATAATCTTCTAAATGTTGCATCACTGCTGTCTTTTTTTCTTAGAGAGATTTTTTTCTATAGGGCATGTGCACTCATGTGCACTCACCTCTGCCCCCCCACACACCCCCGCCCCAGAGGATGGCCATGCCGCAATCCCTTCTCCTTCATTCTCTTGGATTTGGGGAATGTACACACATGCAACCGGCATGAGTTTTAAGCCACCTGATCCGGAACTCGAACTGAGGTCAACTACCTAGAGTTCAGCGACATAACCATTTTGCCATCTGCTGATCTCATTACTGCTATCTCTGAAACGCTCTTTGATTAACAAAGAGCTAGAATCGCATAAAAGCTGTCAAAAGAGGCATTTCTAGTACACAAAGTTCATTGAAAATGGACCCTGCTGCAGCTCTCCTCTGGAAACTTACTCAGTTATTAAAGCCAGGCATAGTTATTTTGCAGAATTATTTTATAAAATATACTAGGCTTTAATATAATTATAAGTTATATTTTCTATTGAAAGTTAAAATTTTCAGAAATTCCTGTTTCTATTTGTGAGTTCATAAACTTCAAAAGCAAGTATTTCTCAGGGGCCACATGGTGGTGCAGCAGCTAAATGCAACACTCTGTGAACTGATCCACTTGGGAAGGTTTTGGTTCACTTACAGAGACCTCCCAGAGTACACGGGGTATGTGTGTGCCCATGATCTGTAGCTGGCTGAAGCTGGGGATGGATCATGTCATCAAGACTTTGTTGGTGCTTCTGTTTCTCTCTGTCACTTTCTTGTTCTCTCTCACTCATGGAATAAATAATTTTTTTTTTTTTGGAGAGGTTTTTGCTATAGGGCTTGTGTGCTCGCCAGACAGATAGAGACAGAGAGACAGAAAGCGAGAAATCACCCCCCAGGGGGGATGGCCACACCACAATCCCTTCTCCATTCTCCTCTTGGGATCTTGGGCACGCACGCACACGTGCCTGGAGTGAGTTTAAGCCACTGGGTCCGGGACTCGAACCGCAGTCGACAACATGGGAGCCCAGCGACATAGCCAATACACTAACTGCTGATCCCCAATAAATAATTTCTTTTCAAGAATAAATATTCCTCAGATACCAGCAGGTGGTGTGCTGCTTAAGGCACTGGACTCCCACATGATCAAGTACAGTTCAAGTCTTGGAGTGGGCAGCTTGAAAATTATACTCGGGGCATGTGCATGAATGCCCCAAATCCCAAGAGGATCATGGAGAAAAAGGGATTGCAGTATGATTATCCTCACTGGAGGGGTGATTTCTCACTTTCCCTCCCACTATCTCTCTGTCTCTCTCCAGCAAGTACATGTGTCCTATGGTGAAATAAATAAATAAATAAATATTTCTCAATACAAACACAGGTAAATTGAGCAGAATAACACATAGCCATATCTCCATAGGCCACTTTCAGGAATGGAAGGAAGGCATTCCTTGCTGTGAGCAGTAAGTAGGAAGAAGGAAGCCTCACCTCTGTGGGGGTGGCATCACGGGTGAAGATGGGCCAGGTCTTCCAGGTCATGTTGTGGAGGTACTGCTGGTGCACGTGTTCCCCCAGCCCATACACATTGGTGCTGGGCAGTCGGAAAGACAGTTGCAAGTACTGCTGAGCATACAGAAGAGGTCCAATGCCCGTGTCCAACCTGGGCCATGGGAAGATAACACTTAGACATCAGTTGTTTCAGACATCATCATCCATGTTCATGTGATTTTTGAAGGTCTTCCTAGGGAATCAAGTTCTGAGTCTCGAACAGAACACTAGGGATAGGTGGAACTTAGGATGGATAACAGGGAAGAGAACAGGTGTGGCCTCATGTTTGCTGTGATACATTGCATGTCAAGTATGAGTTTCCATGATTTTTGCATCTATTTCATGTCAGGTATGACTCTCCATGATTTATAATCATGATTTTATTATGTCCAGCAACAGTGGGTAATTTGATTTCCTTTTCATGGACAAGGAAAAATGCTAATGCAGTGAGGTGCTTTGCCAAATGGCACAGAGCTCACTGGGGATTTGCTGATGCCAGCCTTTGGGTATAGGTGTATTGGCATCAATACTTATATTTTCTCCAGTGTCATTTGTGATTAAGTGCAAATGACTGTTAGGTGCTAGATGGAAATAGTCACAGGAAATAATCTGGAGTGACATTTAAGTTATGGTACAAATGATAATTAAAATAATAAAACTCCTTATTTTATAATATATGTAAACCTCAAGCATATTTCTGTATATAGGTAGTCTATAACTTAGCAAATAATAGTTTAGTATTTTTTGCTCTACAGTCAGGACATATTATCAGAGTTAATCATTTCAAATAAAAGCTTTGACATTTTATGAGGTTCAAACATTTTCCCAAGTCGAACTTCTTTCACTGTCTCCCTCGGTAGGTCAGATTGAGTGACACTGGGACTATAAACTGAAAGGTGAATAAAGAGTGATGGAAAACTCACAAGACTCTTCTGTTGCTTCTCCTCATTATTTTGAGGCTGAAGGGTTTATCAATGACCTCTATGTCATAGTTCAAATTGGAGGTATCCGCAGTCTCGTTACCCGACTTAATTGTAAGGGGAACTTCATAGCGTTTGTTATTGTCATCAGTGATCTGTCAGGAGAAAAAACAGGAGGAACACCTCCAGATTAGACCACTTCCCTGTAGAGCTCCAGAAAAGTGTCACTATCAAAAAGCCCCATGACAATAGCTTCTAAATTTTGACCCATGGTTACTGATTGTGAAAAAATATCACCCAATCGTATGCGCCCCATCAAATAAAACTTAGTTTGCCCATCACCCGGAGGTTCTTGCAGAGAACAGTGGTACCTCCTGGCTCAGTAGCTCTGTGTAATGCACAATGCAGAATAATGTAAACCCCACAATGGGGTGCTGGTTTCTTCAGAGATGTATTCAGCAGTAACTCCCAAACCAACCTTAAAACGAAAGCGATTGGATGTCTGATATTCAGCTGTGAAGAGGGTGTTGTTGACATCATATCCAAACAGAGATGGGGATGGAAACCTTTTCAACTTGACAGAAAATCCTAGGAGTTGGGGAGGAGAAAAAGACAGAGAGAAACAGTGAAGCTTTCAGCTTCTGCTTTACAGTTAACGTATCTGGGCCATGAAGAGTTGTTCCCTGGAGCAATAGTGGGGCCCTGCTTACCCCTGCTTGTAATTGTTCTGGCATCACTGACTTCATATCCCCAATTCCTGGGGAAGAAGCACTTAGGGACGTTGGAGTCTTCCAGAGGCTTCCAGCAGCACTTGTAGTACCTCCTGCAGATCTCCTGTAGCAAGGGCCCAGAGTTAGCATTGCATAACATGAAGAATGGAAAGTTCTGTCTACTTATTTATAATTCATATTGTTCTAAGGAGAATTTAAAACAGCTCATATTACATTCACTCATTTACTCATTCTTTACTGACAAATACATTTATCTAGCTAGCCAATATGCCTTTATTATCCACCAGAAGAGAAATTTATCATAGCAATTGATATGACATTGTGACTTCAGCAAACTGACCTAGTTGTAAATTCAGACAACTGAAAATGTAGTTACATCATGATAAGATGAGTATGACAGTATGATGAGGTGAACGAGAAAACGCATGTACCAGCCATAGTACCCAGGTTGGGAGAGGATAGGGGAAGGCTTGCTGGCAAGGGAAAGGTAAGCTCAGTTCTGAAGAACCAGGAGGGGCTAGACAGGTGAACAGTAGAGCAGGATTGCCAGCAGAGAGAGCGGCAATGCATGACAGACTCAGAAAAGCCACAGCTCTGCAGTGCCAAGAAGGCTGAGTAAGAGAATAGAGGCTGGAAGCACATAGCACCTTACCAAAAGTGGGCAGGAGGCTGGACTACATGGTTTGGACTTTCTCACGAGGGAGAGGCATGAAAGTGACTCACATACAAGGAGAAATGCATTTCTAGAAAGTAAGAAAAGTAAAGCCAAGGAAAAGAGACTATTAAGGATGCCATGACAAATTCACAATGTCTAAGGTAAAAACGAACCCATGCGGTTTCTCAGACTGACTTGATTTTAAGTATTCTTGTAAAAATATTTTCTTTTTTTATTCATGGTAGAGTGTATACACATACACATGAAAGCGAGAGAAAGAGAGAGAAATGAGCAAAGCATCCAGTAGTGCCATGATCTGCTTCCTCTAGTACTACAGTCTGTTGGATTCTGAATCATACATGCCCTTCAGGGTTTAAGCAGATCTGGCAGGAAATTTGAATAATGGTTACTATGTGGGATTCTGTGTCTCTCTCTCTCTCTCTCTCTCTCTCTCTCTCTCTTTTTTTTTAAAGATTTTGCTATAGGGCATTTGCACTCACCAGAGAGATAGAGAGACAGAAAATGAGAAATCACCCCCCAGGGGGCATGGCCATGCCACAATCCCTTCTCCTCCATTCTCCTCTCAGGATTTTGGGCACGCGCACACATGTGCCCAGCGTGAGTTTTAAGCTGCTGGGTCTGGAACTTGAACCATGGTTGACTCTGTGGGAGTCCAGCAACATAACCGTTATGCCATCTGCAGGTCCTGGAATGCAGCTTCTCTTGAGCAGCACATTTCCACAGCACTGTAGAGTCATTTCAATTGTGAATATCCTTTTATTATTATTATCTATTGAGATTTATTGTCCAAAGTGTCCTACAGTTTTCAGATTCGCTTATAGAAAATTTTTTGTATATTAAATAAAGTAATTGGAAAATTGAATTAATATGTCAAAACAAACACAGGCATCCATCTCCCCACCCAAACTGCAGAAACAACAGAAGTACCATTGAGAAGATAATTACAAATCCATTACAAAATAGCAAAAATAATGTAATGTTAGAGACCAGAAGTGTTACACAACTCCTGGAACATAGAAAATAGATTTTGTCAGCCCTAGAGAAAAAATGATACATTCACAGCATAAAATTCAAAAGGAAATTTGACTGCTCCAAACTAAATCAATGTGGAGAAGTGGAGGAGAGCTGGAGGCACAGTCTGGGTGTCTAATTGGGAATGTCAATCTAGCCGTTCTTCAGCTACTGCTGAGCTCCTGCTAGATGGTGGACATCATGTAGTATTTGCTCATGGGCCTAGTGAGTGAGGAGAGATGCTGAGAGCCAGAGGTATGGCAAGGCACCAGCTAATAAGCACACTGTCACCACCTCCAGACAAATACTCATCTCATCTTCTCTCCAGCAATCCTTTCCTCCCCTCTTTTTTTTTCTTTAGAATATATATTTTTTTAATTTGACCAAGGAGAGACACAGAGAGAGAGAGGGAAAGTGAGAAAATAAGTCACTAGGTCCAGGACTCAAACTGTAGTTGGCCATGTGGGAGTGTCCAGCACCTTAACCACCATGCCACCTGCTCATCCACCATTTCCTTCCCTCTTAAATGCGCAGTGTGAGCCAAGATAAATATGACTGGCAGTTAGATAATTAAATACAAAGACGACAGTCCAGATCACTGAACAATTAAGATAAATAAAATAAATACAATGATTTTCAGAAAGAGTCATGCAACTATTGCTTCCACTGGAAAAAACAACAACAACAACAACAACAAAGAATGTTTAAAGTTAAGATTTTTTGTTGTTGTTGTTATGGAGAGATTTTTGTTATAAGGCATGTACGCTTGCTGGAGAGACAGAGAGAGAAAAAGAGACAGATAGATAGAAATCAAGAAATTAGCCTCCAAGGGGGATGGCCATGCCACAATCCCTTCTCCTCCAGTCTTCTCTCAGGATTTTGGGTATGCATACATGCACACCCGGCGTGAGTTTTAAGCCACTGGGAACAGGATTCAAACCGCAGTTGGCCATTTGGGAGTCTAGTGATGTAACTATTATGCCATCAGCTGGTCCCCTTCAAGTTAAGATTTTGAACAAGACCTACAATTGTTTAATATTTGAATAGAATAACAAAAATAAAATAGTGAAAAGAGAAGTGTTGAGAAAAAAGATATTTTTAAGGCAAGTTAAGGATTATCCCAGAATATATATATATGCCAGAAGATGGCATAATAGTTACATTGCTGGACTCACATGTAGTCGACCACAGTTCAAGTCCCAAACTTTGTGGTTTAAAACTCACACCGAGCACAAGTGCGTGCATGCCCAAAATCCCAAGGAGAATGGAGAAGAGACTGCAGCATGGCCATCGTCCCTGGGGGAGGGGGGGTGATTTCTCACTTTCTGTCTCTCTCTGTCTCTCTGGCAAGTGTGTGCCCCCTATAGCAAAATTCTCTCTTAAAAAAATTTTTTTTCCATTATGTTCTAATGGCTTATGTATTAATTCATGTTGATATTCCTATAGTATGAGGAGATATATACAGATATACATACAGATTACAGATGTATCTATTTATAGGCATATGCCATATATCATATGCCATATATATATATGGGGGGAGAAAAAGAAAGCAACCCCCAATGAGGCCTGGTCATGCTGCAATCTTTTTTCCTCCAGTTCTCCATTTCCTTGAAACCTTGGGCACAAGCACGTGCTCCTAGCATATTTGTCAAGCCACTGAGGCCAGAAATCAAACCCTGGTTGGTTATATGGGATCTGACTTCTTCACAGCACTTCACTGCTAAGCTACAGGACCAGACAGGAGGACATATTTTTATATTAGTTTGGCATATCAATAAATCTAAAGGTGATCCTTTGAAAAGGTCGAGGAAATGGAAATACCTCATCATGTCCTATTTTGACAAAAAGAGAGGGAAACAAGCAAGATTAAAAACAAAAATGGAGGAGCCAGCAGGTGGTGTGGTGGTTAAAGGCACTGGACCCCCATATGGCTGACCATAGTTCAGGTTCTGGACTTGGTGGCTTGCTTTTTTTCACTTTCCCTCTCTCTCTTTCTCTCTATCTCACTCTTTATAAACTCTATAAAGTTAAATAAAATAATTCTTTTAAAAAAATTGAAAATGATGAGAGAAATACGGAACTCTTTAAATGTGAGCAAGAATTACAAGAAAATTCTTTGTACAAATATTTGCTAATGAATGTGATACTCTAAATTAAATGAAGTTGTACATAGTAAAATACTCAAAATTGGATAAGATAGAAAACATAAAATGACCAAATCATGAAAATTGTAAAAAATGGTTAATGATTTATATATATATATATATATACACACACAGATATAGATATAGAAAGATAGATAGTATATATATTATATATAATATATATTCAGATATAGATATAGAAAGATAGATAATATATATGAATATATATATATATATATATACATATATATATATTCAGGACAAAAAAGTTTTCTGATTCATTTTGTGAAACTATAATAATTCTGGTAATAAACTGAATGTGAATAGTAGACAAGCAAACAAAAATACATAGTATGATTTTCCTTAAAAATATAAATGTCCAAAAATTTTAATAAAATATTAGCAATTTGGTTTTAATAGTGTATTAAAATAATTAATGCATAATATGCAAATAAAGCTTATCAAGCAAAAGCTAGAATGTTTCAAAATTAGTAAGTCTTTTAATGTCATTCACAAATTATATGATTATTTCAATAGAATCAAACTATTTTAAAAATATAATAGTATTATGGTAGTTAAGGTGGATGGATCCCATATGGCTGAATGTGTGGTTCAAGTCCTAGACCCTGCAGCTTGCAAAATGCACTGGACATGTGTGTATGTGTGTGCAAAATCCTGAGAGGTGGAAAAAATGGAGGAGAAGGGATTGTGGTGTGGCCATTCCCATAGAAAATGACTTCTCACTTTCTCTATCTGTGAACTAATGCATCCTCTGAAAAAATTAAACATTTGTATGTTTAATTAAATTAAATATTTTAATTTAATTAAAATCCCTTAACTTTAAAAAGTTAGAAAACATATAGTATCATCAAGTTTGTGTTAAAGCTATATATAAATATGTATAGGTACATGTACATGTATGCATGTAAAAGCATAGAAAAGGGTTCATATTATATTATTGACTTGATTCTGGGGAGGAGATTTAGAAGTAGAGAGAAAATTGTGAATACATATTTCTCCATTTAATTCTATATATAACTATATTAATATTCCTTATTTTAAAATGTATTCAGTATAGAGCATGTGACCAAAACAGTTTCATACTCAGTATAAGCAAAGTAATCATATTACAACTATACTATTTTAGACTTGCCTATTAATTATGCATATATATAATTGACATTCCTGATTCATTGTCTTTGGATAACAAAAATGGCTGGAAGAGATCAGTAGACAAAGAATTTGGGAGTTCTGAATAGGATCTGGATA